AAAAAAAAAAAAGGAGGGTGGGTAGTTGGTTATAATACCTATGATCCCAGTCAGAAACCTAGTTTAGGCTCCGGCAGCATCCACGTGTGTTTCTGGCTGTTCATCTTCACTTACACCCAGACAGCTCAAAGAGACCTCCAGCCAGCACCGGGGTCCATGCTTCTGGGCTCAGTCCCCAGTCTTCACCACCCATTTTATTGTCTGGTTTGGTTTGGTCTCACCGTACAGCCAGACAGTCCTTGAGCTTTGACCCTCCCGCCTCTGCCTCAGGAATGCCGGCCAGGATCACAGGCACGCACCACCACCCTGAGCCGGCTGACTTTCTCGCCCTCCAGACCCGCCCCGCCCTGCTGTCCTTCCGCTTTGCTCCCCGGGGGGTAGGGGGGGGATGCTTAGCATGAGGGTGTTTGCTCTCTAGTGAACACCGATAGCTGAGTCTCTGGAAGAACTGGATGATGTTTGTACCCAGGATACGGAAAAAGCTAGAAAGTCGGACTCCAAACTGAGGCCAGAAAGGTGACTTAGGAGTAAAAATGACCACCACCAGGCCTCATGACCTGAGGTCCACCCCCAGGACCCACGTGGAAGAAGGAGAAAACCGACTCCCCAAAGATGTCCTCTGACCTCCACAGATGTGCCTATATACAGAGGTCAATAAAAATAAAAAATTGGGGGTTGGGGATTTAGCTCAGTGGTAGAGCGCTTGCCTAGCAAGCGCAAGGCCCTGGGTTCGATCCTCAGCTCCGGGGGAAAAAAAATCTAAGTATATGTTCTAAAAGTCCAAGCTCCAGCAGGGGAAACGGTCCAGCTAGCAACAGCGCCTGTGCAAGGACGAGGACCTGAGTTCAGACCCCGACACCCACGTAAAAAGCTGGATAGACTCACCACTCAGGCACCTGGACCCCAAGGCTGGGGGGGGGGGGGCAGAGACAAAGAGGCTCGCGGACCCCACCGAGTGAGCGCAGATTCAGTGAGAGGTCCCGTCTCAAGGGAACGAGGCCGGGTCTGAGAGAGCAGGCTACCCACCTGAAGTCCTGAAGTCCTCCTCTGACACATGTGCCTCAGCACATGCACATGAGATAAAGGACCACATATGTGTGTTTATTTCGTTTTTTTAATGATAGCTTTTGAGATTATAATGTAATTATATCATTTCCCCTTTCCTCTTTCGTCCTTGCAAACCCTCCCATGTACCCCCCTGCTCTCTTTCAAATTCATGGCCCCTTTATCTTTAATTACTGTTATAGATAAATGTATGTGTGTGTGTGTTTCTATATAATATTCCTAGATCCATAAATACGACCTGCTTCTGTAGAAATGGTGAGAGCTACCCAGACGAGCCCCAGGATACAGAATCTAAATAAATAGTTTTTAAATCCACGCTCAGACTATTCTTCCTACAGTATTTTTGGAACACAGACTTCTCTTTCATTTTTCAGACAGTCTTGCGCAGCCTAAGCTGGCCACAAACTCACTCTGTATCCAAAGCTAACCTTTGAACTGCTGACCCTTTGACCTCCACCTCCCATGTGCTCATTTTCCTTCAGTATGGGCGGTCAAACCCAGAGCTGTGAGCTGGTCAGGCAAGCACTGTACCCCTGCGCCACCCACCACAGCTTTGATAAACAAAGAATGGATTCAGAAGCAGCAGAAACCACTGGACGTCTTTCTACCGCCCCCCCCCCTTCAGCGGGCATTGCCCGCTTGGAGGCAGGCTTGGGTCCCCCAGGCTGGGGCTCTGTCTCCGGAAGAGGCTCCCCTGCAGAAACCCTGTGTTTTTGTTCTAAATGACTGACTTCACATTAGAGTTCCTAACAGTCCCCAACCTGGACCTGATTCATTTTCTTGCGAGACTCACGGGGGGCTGGAGGGGTGTACTATTTGTGTTATAATACTATAATATATTATAGAGGATAGAGAAGGCTACAGATAAAGTTATGCATAAAGAGCTGGGGGCACAGCTCATTGCTAGCACGTTTGCCTAGCCAGCATGGAGCCCCAGGTTCCATCCCCAGGACAAGGGGAAAAGAGGGAAAGTGGAAGGTTTGCCCTCTAGGGACCTCCCAGCATTCAGCTCTCCAGAAGTCCCCGAAGCCTGCCATCTGAGGTGTTTACAGACATGTCATTGCACTGATAGAACTGCTAATGGACTGGGTGGTGAAGCCAGACAGGCCAGTCTGTTCAGATTCCTCCCAGCGGGACTTCCAGGCAAGGACCTCTCTGGCCTCATACATAGTGTATACCACAAGGGTCAGCTGCAAAACGTTATTTTTTTAAGATCTTTATGTACATCCCTGTTTTGCTTGCATTTATGTCTGTACGAGGGTGCCAGGTCCCCTGGAACTGGAGTTATAGAGAGTTATCAACTACCATTCCTGGGTCCCCTGGAAGAGCAGTCAGTTCTCACACTACTGAAGTTCTTTATGGATGACTCCAGGACACACACACACACACACACAAAAAAAAAAAAAAAAAAAAAAAAAATAGAGGGAGATTAGTTTTTATAAGTATCTTGGGGGAATAATAGACTTAGATTCAAGTCACAAAGGTAGCATAGAAGCTTCCTATTGCCTATCTTTAGCGAGGTTGAGCCAGGAACTGTGGGTAAGGATGTGTTTTCACTCAGTGTGTGTGTGTGTGTGTGTGTGTGTGTGTGTGTGTGTGTGATGTGTTTTCACCCACAGTATGTGTGTGTGTGTATATATATATATATGTGTATATATATATAATATGTATATATGTTATATATATAAAATATTTTACAGAACCAGTTTTACTCCTCAGGAATTTTGCTCTCTTTTGTTTTCATTTTTAACTTAATTATATGTGTACGGGTGTTTTTATCTGCATGTATGTCTATGTACTACTTGCATGCCTGGTGCCACCGAAGCCAGAAGAGAACTGGATCCCCTGGAACCAAAGTTACATGATGAGTCGCCATGTGGTCGCTGGGAATTGAACCTCAGTCCTCTGGAAGGGCAGCCAGTGCTCTTAACCACTGAACCATCTTTCCAGCCCTGTGTTTTTAGGACATGTAGTGAGCTGCCTCCAAGCTCACTCAGTAGCCTGAGGATGGCCTTACACTTCTGATCCTCCTGCCTCCACCCGCTGTGTGCTGGCATTACAGGCATGTGCTGCCATGTGGTCTACCGGTGCTGGGGATGGAACCCAGGGCCTCAAGCATGCTAGGTAAGTGCTCTAGCCACTGAGCTACATTCCCAACCTCAAGAAAAGCTCTTTTACCACCATGTTCAGTGAGCACATACTACAATAAACCACACAAGCTACACAAACCTGTGTACTGTGGGTTAAGCATGTCTCTGGTATAGAAAAGCCAAAAGGAGATTAACAATAATAATAAAAATATAACAGGGGCTGGAGAGATGGCTCAGATGTTAAGAGCACTGACCGCTCCTTCAGAGGTCCTGAGTTCAATTCCCAGCAACCACATGGTGGCTCACAACCATCTGTAATGAGATCTGGTGCCCTCTTCTGGCCTGCAGACATATATGCAGGCAGAACACTGTATACATAATAAATAAATAAATCTTTAAAAAAAAAAATATAACAACATCTTCAAGTTACCAAGGATGGCATGTAATGCATCCTGGAAGGGCACTTGAGTTGGGTTTTTTGTTTGTTTGTTTCTTTCTTTCTTTCTTTTTTAAGATGAATAGAAGTTCTCTAGATTGACCCGGGGAAGGATGGCCATGCAATCAGAAAGAAGAATAAACTCAAAGGCACCGAGCAATGAGAAAACAGACCCACAGTAATAGCAGACGACCCAAGGAGGACCAGTAAAGATGGAGAGCAGCTGAGAACCAAATCATATCCTACTGGCCTTGCTACAGAGCACAGGTTGACCAAATGCCACAGCATGCTTTAGAAAGATACCTCCAGGAAACAGAAGCCTAGACTGTTGAGGGACCAGGAAAAGACCGATTCTGTCCACTGCTCAAGTGTCTAGAACCCCTGCCAGGCGCTCAGGTCCCTATCCTATGGAATAGAGTCTAGAGAAACCGCCATAGCGTAGGGTGAAAGGGGGCAAGGAAAAACACCCTGATCCTGACTTGACCCCAGGACCACCTGAGCGTGAAATCCCACCAATCCTGAGCTTCCCCCAGAATCAGGCTACAAAAAAACCACCAATCCCAAGCCACCCTGGAAAGCTCCACCTCCCAGGAAACCCTATATAAGCTCTGTACCCGGTGCCGTTTGCTGCTGCTTCTCTCCTGGAGGCAGCCAGCCTCCTGGATACTTCCTTCCCAGTAAATCTCTTGAGTGAGGTTGTGCCATGTGACTGACATTTTCACCTGAGTGGAGCCCAACTGTAACACTTTTGCTAGGGAGACTTTCCCCTAGCAGAGCAGAGCTGTAACAACTTCACTCTGAAAGCCTTCCCCCTGAGGAGCAGAGTTGTTACACTTGCATTGGAAAAACGTCTCCCTAGAGCAGAGCTCTAAGCCGCAACCGTTACAGTGACTCTGTGGTGTTCCTTGGCTCCCGACTGCCAGAATATCTTTCCATCCGAGCTGCAATGCGTACACATAGTAGACAGCACCTTGTGTTTTCCAAGGCCCAGGTAATAAGTACAGGAGATAAAAGACCCATCCTCTGAAAGGGAAGCTGGTTAACTCCAGGTCCAAGTGCAGAGGAGACATGGGCTGGGTGTGATTTCCTGGAAGGACCCTGTATAGCATGGGGTGGGGTCCGCATGCCTGGTGACGATGTCCCTCAAGCTGTCTGCATTGTGCCTTCATAAGGACCAGGGCACAGGCCAAGAGTGGTGGCACAAGCCTTTAATCCCAGCACTCAGGAGCAGGGCCAGGCAGATGTCTGTGAACTCAAGGCTAGCCTGGTCTACTTAGAGAGTTCTACCCTGTCTTAAAAAAAAAAAAAAAAAAAAAAGGCACAATGCAGAATGAAGCTGCCGCCTGCCTTAATTCAGGCCTTGAAGTACATCTTGTCCCTGTGAGACTGGAGCTGGGTGCCTGCTGTTGCTTCTGTACAGTGTTCTCTTCGGAGCCATATGGTCCCCATCTCTGCTCTCTGCCTGAGTCCACACAGGCCTGCATAGAGGTGTGACAGCTGTCTGTCCACGGTCCATTTCCCTTCCTCTTTCTCTAGCTGGTCCTCAAGTTTGATGAAACTGATCTGAGCCATCGGATTAAAAGTAAGCACAGAAGAATAAGTTGGTTTTCTGTTTTGTTTTTTTTTTTTTTTTTTTTTTTTTTTTTTTTTTTCGAGACAGGGTTTCTCTGTGTAGCTTTGCGCCTTTCCTGGAGCTCACTTGGTAGCCCAGGCTGGCCTCGAACTCACAGAGATCCGCCTGGCTCTGCCTCCCCAGTGCTGGGATTAAAGGCGTGCGCCACCACCGCCCGGCGGTTTTCTGTTTTTAATTCAACCATAGGACCGGGCAGATGGCTCAGCAGCTAATGTGCTTCCCAGGCAAGAGTAAGGACCTTGGTTCAGATACCCAGAACCCACTTAAGTGCTGGGAGGGAGTGGCAGGTCACCTGTAACAGTGGAACTCCAAACTCTGCCTCAACAAAGGAAGCAGGATTGATGGAAGAAAACTCTGACTGTCAGCCTCTGGCCTAGACACACACACACACATACACAAGGACCCACACACAGATATATGCTCCAGAGTCACCCACAGACATGCAAACATGCTTACATGCATGAATGCACATCACACGCACAGACACAAGCAAAAAAAAAATCAAACCACTAGGTAGAAGAAAAGCCATAGAATTATTTTTAAATTGTGATATTACTAATATTGATATTATTAAACCACAGATTATTTTGAAATACCTAAGAAAATTTTAGTCTCAGTCCCATAGCAGTAAAAGGCATGGAAAGCATGGTTTAAAATATATGCTGAGCCGGGCAGTGGTGGCTCATGCCTTTAATCCCAGCACTCGGGAGGCAGAGGCATGTGGATCTCTGTGAGTTCGAGGCCAGCCTGGTCCACAGAGCTAGATCCAGGACAGGCGCCAAAGCTACACAGAGAAACCCTGTCTCAAAAAAAAAAAAAAAAAAAAAGGAAGGAAGGAAAGAAGGAGAGAGAGAGAGAGAGAGAGAGAGAGAGAGAGGCAGAAAGAAAGATAACATGCTACAAGAGTTGGCGAGAAGGCTCAGCAGTTAAGAGCGCTTGATTCCCAGCACTCACAAGGTGGCTCACAATCATTTATAACTCCAGTTAGAAGCTCCAACTCCCTCTTCTGTGACCACCAGACACACATGTGGTGCACAGACATATATGTAGGCACAATACCCATGCATATAACATATAAATAAATCTGAAAAAAAGGAATAAAAATAAAGACATGCCACAAACCAAAATTCACATTTGAGATATTTAATCTCACTGATAATTACAGAGAAGCAAATTAAAATGAAGTATCCGTTTTCTTTCGATAGACAGGATTAAAGGGCTCTAGCCGGTTGTCGGCAAGGGAGGGAGAAAACAGGTGCCCCTCTGTTCTGGGAAGGAAGCCTGACTTGGCATAGCCTTTGGAGGGTCATTTAAAAGCCAAGTTTGAAATGAGCATGCGGTTATGCACTTTGGACTCCCTGGAGAATTTATTTTTAAAAAACTAATGGCACAGGTGTGCCTGGCTGTTTGAACAAAAATGGCCATCATGTTGGAAAGCTGGAAACGGGGCAGGAGGTACCTACGGCTCAGTGGAAGAGCACTTGCCTTGAAAGAACCAGGCCCTGAGTTCAGTCAGCAACCACCACCAACTCAAGGAGGAAAAAAAGAAGCTGGGAAAGTTAAAAAAAAACAGTCTGAATGTCCATTAGTGAGAGGTTTTTTGTTGTTGTTGTTTGTTTGTTTGTTTGTTTGTTTATTAAGCTCAAAGACAATTCTATTAGTCCAAGAGAAAACCCCCAGGGCAGGCAAGCTGCAAATCTTAGCAGCTGCCCAGAAGAGCACAGAGAAGGGGGGGGGGCATGCCATTTAAGCCAGCAAGAAGGTAGCATGGTGGGCTTTGGAGAAAGGGTAAGGGAGCTGAAAATCTCAGGGAAAGCACACCCAGGCTCTGGCCAAAACAGATGAGAAGAAAAAAAATCACAGCTAGGTCTTTTTGAATAAGAAAGGGGGCAGTGGGCTGGAGAGATGGCTCAGAGGTTAAGAACACTGGCTGCTCTTCCAAAGGTTCTGAGTTCAATTCCCAGCAACCTCATGGTGGCTCACAACCATCTGTAATGAGATGTGGTGCCCTCTTCTGGCCTGCAGGCAAACATGCAGATGGAACACTGTATACATAATAAATAGATAAATCTTTAAAAAAAAGGGGGGGGGGGACAGAGCCCAATCCTTGTGGATCATAAGTACTGCTCGTTAATAAGAATTTGATTAAATTAGTTTATGAGGTAATGCTATAAGGCCCAAGCAGGCATTATTAAAGACAGAACTGACAAAAGCATTTGTTCATGTAGTGTGTGTGTGTGTGTGTGTGTGTGTGTGTGTGTGATGCTGGGAATCAAACTTGGAGCTTTAAACATTTTTTTTCTTTCATCCTTCCTATTCTCTTGATCCCTCTTCCCTTTTATCTATACTTTGCATTTTATTTTATTTTATTAGTATTGTATGTGTATGGGTACTTTGACTTCATGTATGCCTCATATGTGTATCATATGTGTACAATGACCTCAGAGGTCAAAGAAGGCACCAGAGCCCCGGGAACTGGAGTTACGGACAGTTGTGAATCATCATGTGGATGCTGGGAATTGAACTGGGGTCCTCTGAAAGAGCAGCCAGTGCTCTTAACCACTGAGCCATCTCTCCAGCTCCCTTTTATTTAATAGGGAATTCTGCCTGGTGGCGGCAGCAGCCGTGGCATGTGCCTTTAATCCCAGCACCTGGGAGGCAGAGGCAGGCAGATCCCTGTGAGTTTGAGGTCAGCCTGGTCTACAGAGTGAGTTCTAGGACAGGCTCCAAAGCTACACAGAGAAGCCCTATCTCGAAAAACCATTAAAAAAAAAAAATGAAACAAGCCAAAAAACTAAATTTTTTAAAGATTAAGAATAACAAAGAAGCCTGGTGGTGGTGGCAAAAAAATATATATAATTTTTTTGAAAATCTTCCATGTTTTTATCTCAATAAAAAGCACAGTTTCTATCCATGTTCATACCAGAAATCTGAACATTATAGCCTATGAGGGGCGCGCGCGCACACACACACACACACACACACACACACACACACACACACACACACACGCAAAGAGAGAGAGAGCAGAACCAGTGACTTGCTTCTCATCAGCCCAACAGCTGTCAGATCACCGTAACGGCTTTCGGAAGATAGCTGTCAGCCCTCTGGGTTGTGTGTTAAGAGTAACAGGAAGTCGATCTCTTGAAGACTGGCGTGAGAACTTGTTTTTTGTTTGTTACGGAGTCAGAGTCTCAGGCAGCCCAGGCTAGGCTCAAACTCTCTGATGATAGCCTTGAACTTCTAATCCTGCTGCCTGGTTTAAGTGGTGCTGGGGCTCGACCTTGCCAAGGGAGCTGCAGCCTCAGCCCTTCGCAGGCTTTGAAGAAGCATGCTGTCGTGTTTGCTAAGGACTAACGTGTTTCAATAGCAGTGTTACAGCTGCAGGGAGCTGAATTTTACCAACATTCTGAGGAAGCTGAGAAATAGATAATTACCCCAAGTTGAGCCTGAGATAGACCTGGTTAACAACTGGATTAAAATCTGGTTGGACCCAGAGCAGGTCACCTAGATATGTTGCGTCTGACTCCTAAGCCTCAGACACCGCGAGATCGTAAACGGTGTTTAAGGATTTGAATTGTGGCAGCTTTTTACTCCACATAAAAACTAGTGCAGCACCTCTCCAATTCATCAAAGACGCTCTTAAAATAGCCTTCCGGGGGCTGGGGAGAGGGCTCAGCGGTTAAGAGCACTTGCTGCTCTTGCAGGGGACTCAGCATCTGTAACTCCAGCTCCAGAAAGATCTGATGTCCTCCTCTGACCTCCAAGGGCTCTGCATGCACACACACAGTGCACAGACATGCCTGCAGTCGAAACAGCCATATACATAAAATACAAAGGAATTCATCTTTGTTTTAACCCACTTCTGGGGATGGGGAGATGGCTTAGTGTATGAAATACTTGCCACACAAATGTGAGGGCTGGAATTTGGATCCCTAGGCAGACAAGGCAGTCCACCCAACTGTAGTCCTAACAGTCAGGAGGTAGGGACAGGAAGTCCCTGAAGCAAGCTGGCTAGTTAAGACTAGCCAGACAGGTAAGCTCTGGATTTATCTGAGAACATAGGACAACTGAGTTCAAGGCCCTCCCTCAAGCCAAGTACGGTGGCTTCTTACATCTGCATCCCTAGTACTCTAGAGGCTGAAGCAAGAGAATCACTAGTTCAAGGCCAGCCAGACCAAGATAGGTATATGCAGACAGACAGACAGACAGATAGAAAAACTACATACATACACTAAAGTTTATATACATACATAAAATAGTAATGTAAATAAAATGGAGAGTGATTGAGGAAGACATCTGATATCAATCTCTGGCCTACACACACACACACACACACACACACACACACACAAGATCACACATGTACACATGAAATCACACATATGAATACCCACACACATTTTAACATGAATACACACATGCATGTATACACCATACACACACACACACACTCACACACACACACAATACAGATGTCCATCACCACCACTGTACCCAGAGCAAGCTGACATCATCTTCCACCCAGACAAACTGAATACACTGTGGATTTCTGCCTCTCCTCACAGAATTTGAGCCAAGACATAGAGCCCCCCAAGCAAACCAATAATTTGGCATGCCTTCCTTTCAGTAGAGACGGGAGCTTTTGATAGTCTATTAATAAAAAGGAGTATGCTTCTGCTTTTATGCCAAAATGAGACGTTCAATACTTGTGATTTCTGCAAAGTAGACAGCTTCCTGGAAGGCACATTAAGCCTCTTAATGTTTAAACAACAAACTGATAAATCCCCATTTCCAGTAAACACAGGTCACTGCAGACTTTCAGCTGGCTGCAGGAAAGGGTAATTCTCGAGGGACTCACGCAGGGTTTGGAAGAACAGTTTGTATATGCCAATCCCAAGTTTTTAATTGTGATGAAGACAGTTTATCTTTAATTGGGTGCATATGCTCTTAGGGCTGGTTCTGAGGTCATGAGTATTTGCCCCTTACATTTTCATCTAATAATGCTACAGTTAGAGCGTTTATATTGAGGGTGTATGGATCGGTGTTTATATATAGAATGAGGAAGGATGTGTGTGTGGCTCAGCCGGGGAACACTTCTTGAACCCATGAGCCCTGGGTTCAAGTCCTAGCAGAGGAATGAAGAAAAGAAAAGAACAATGTGGCCAGGGCACACTTTAATTCCTTCATTGTCCTATTATCTAATTATCTACAGTTTATTAAAGAAGTTGATTTTATGCCCATTTAAATGGCACTTTGGTAAAAAAATCAATCAGTTGCAAATGTCTTAGTTTGTCACTAGATCTACAACATTGTTCTATATACACCTAGCCACATGCCAGCATAACACTGTCTTGATTGCTGTAAGACACTAGGAAGTATGAGCCCTTCGAGTTTGTTTATTTATTTACTTATTTTATTTATTTTTGGTTTTTCGAGACAGGGTTTCTCTGTGTAGCTTTGCCCTTTCCTGGAACTTGCTTTGGAGACCAGGCTGGCCTTGAACTCACAGAGATCCGCCTGTCTCTGCCTCTTGAGTGCTGGGATTAAAGGCGTGCACCACCACTGCCCGGCTCGATTTTATTCTTATTTCTCAATATTGTTTTGGCTACTCAGAGGCCCTGGAAGCTCCACATAAGTTTGAATGTCAGTTTCAATTTCTGCAAAAGAAAAGAAAAGCAACTTGGATAATGATTGCACTGAAGCTATAAATCGCTTTAAATAATAATAATAGCTTAGTAACATTAGCTGTTTCAGTCTATGAACATGGGGTGTCATCCCATTTATAAAGATCTTTTCCAGTGTCTTTCACCAGAGCTTTATAGATTGAGTTCAGGAGTCTTTCATCGCCTTATTTAAATTTATTCCTAATGTATTCTTTTGGGTGCAGTTTAATATTTTCTGGCCTGGAAACTTACTGTGTAGACTAGGCTTGCCTCAGACTTGTAACCCATCTGCTTCAGCCTCCTGAGTATTTTTTAATGATTTATTTATTTTATTTTATAGCATTGGTGTTTTGCCTGCCTCCATGTCTGTGTAAGGGTGTCAGATCCCCTGGAACTGGAACTACAGACAGTTTTGAGCTGCCATGTGGTTGCTGGGAATTGAACCCAGGTCCTCTGGAAGAGCAGCCAGTGCTCTTAACCTCTGAGCCATCTCTCCAGCCCCAGCCTCCTGAGTATTAAGGTTATAGGCACACACCATATTTTGCCTTGTGTTTTAATTTTTTTTTTCATTTGTGTATAGATGGTTTGTCTACTCTGTGTGTTTGTGTGTGTGTGTACCATTTTGCATGCCTGCTACCTGGGTCCCCTAGAAAAGGGTTTCAGGTGCCCTGGAACTGAAGTCCTGGAAGATTGTGAGCCTCCATGTGGGTGCTGGGAATCAAACTCAGGTCTTCTGGAAGGCCAGCCACTGCTCCTAACCACTGAGCAATCTTTGCAGCCCCTTGTGTCTAATTTATCTAATGTGTAATGCGTTTTTTGGTAAGATTCATGTAATCCAGGCTGACCTTGAACTTGCTGTGTACCTGAGAATTACCTTGACCTTCTCATTCTCCATCCGTCACTTCCCAAGTGCCAGGTTACAAGCATGTGTCACCACACCCAGCTCTGTAATGTTACAATTTCCATTCCTTCTACATCTCCTTTTCCTTTGTATATTTTAACTTTTTCTTAGTGGTTGTCATGGGGACTACAGCTGGCATCCTAAACTTGGAGAAATTCAGTTTGAATTGATACCAACTTAGTTCAATAACAAGCGTTAACTCTGCAGCTATCCCAGAACCATCCATTCCTTTCTGATATGACTGGCCCAAACAACACCTTTATATTTAATGTAGCAGATCTGTAATTATTTCATGCATTTACACTTTAACTCATATAAGAAATAGAGGCATGAGGTTAGAATACAATTATACTAAATTTTATGTTACTTATAATTACTTTTTGGCTCTCTTTGTTCTTCACACAGTTCAGATTGACAGGTTTTTTTTTTTTTTTCTTTCAGCTTCTTAAAGATGTCATCTTCCACTGACCTCTTGGCCCCTATGGTTTTGGGTGAGAAATTAACTGTTAATTCTTCCTGAGATTCCCTCAATAAAATGAGTCAAATCAACCATCTCTTGCTAATTTCAAGATCTTCTCTTTGTCATCTTTCAGCTTTTTGTTTTGTTTTGTTTTGTTTTTTGGTGTTTTGAAACAGGATCTCTCTGTGTAGCCTTGGCTGTCCTGGAACTTGCTCTGTAGACCAGGCTGGCCTTGAATTCACAGAGATCCACCTGACTCTGCCTCACAAATGCTGGGATTAAAGGCATATGCTAGCACCGCCAGGCAATTCTTTCAACTTTTTGACTCTGTAAATCTCCAGGGTTTTTCTGCTTTAAGTTTGTTAACTGCATAGGATGTACAGGTTCATGTATTTCATCAAATTTGGGGATTTTGTGTATGAAACTGGAGTCACAGACAGTTTAAAGCTGTCATCTGGGAATTGAACCCAGGTCCACTGAAATAGTAACCAGTGCTTAACCACTGAGCCATCTCTCCAATCCCTACTTTTTCTGTTTTTTGGTTTTGGTTTTTTTCTGTCCTCAGATTCACAGATATCTGTCTGTCTCTGCCTCACAATTGTATTTTACATTTATTTTTTAAAAAATGAGAACATTTTGAATATTAAAATCATAACTTGGCAAATCAAATTCTCTCCCTTCAAACTGCCCCAAGGATTGCTATTAGTTGATAAAGGTTACAGTCTTTTACTTATATTTTCAAATATTATTTTTGTTTTTAATTGTGTGCCTATGTGTGGGTATGTACAAATGAGTGCAGGTGCCCACAGAGGCCAGAAGAGGATGCCAGATCCCCTGGAACTGTGGTCACAGGCAGCTGTGAGCCACCCAACATTGGTACTGAAATCAGAACTTAGGTTCTCTGTCCCAACAGTATATGTTCGTAACTGCTCGGGTATCTCTCCAGCCCCACAATTCACTTACTGGGTGCCTATTCCAAACTATTTTTACAGAGACTAAGCCTTAGTAAGTGTAGTCACTGAGATCTCTCTTCTATTACTGTTACAGCCAGCTGGTGGCCAAACAGATTTCCTGAAATGCTTAGATCCAAAGGGAAAGAAGAAAACTAAATGAAAAGCAAACACAAGGTCTGTTTGTCTGTTTAATCCTCTCCACCAGCAGGAAAGCCACTTCCATCCACACTCTTGAGCTCTGAAGCCATAGTCAGCCTTTATGTTGCAAGGCAGATCAAACACACAATCCCAGCCCCTGCAGGACAAGGTCTCTCTCGCCCACGCTCACATCAGCAAACAAACCATAGTACTGATATGGATCACCATCCTCAGGGTTTCCTGCTATGGGGATGGGTTTACCTCCGACAAACATGTCTCAGCATACTGTAAAATGCTCCACTAGTCTACAGTCTCAAAGAATTGAGTCTTCTGTTTTGTTATTTAATGCTTTATTTATTTATTGTGGATGGGTATTTTTCCTGCACGTATGTCTGTGTACCATGTTCACGCCTGGTGCCCATGGAAGCCAGAAGAGGGTGTCATCCCCCCCTGAGAATGGAGTTACAGACAGTTGTGAGCCATCACATGGGTGCTGGGAATTGAACCTGCATCCTCTGCAAGAGCAGCCAGTGCTCTTCCCTGCTGAGCCATCTCTCCAGCCCCAGTTCTCACAGTTCTCACAAGTTACAAAAGTTTGAATGGGGGAGAATCAGTCGACGCATGCAATAGCCCAAGGCTAACAACAACCAAATTGATGACTACCTACCTCTACACCCAAAAGGTTAGAGAGAAGGGCAGTGGTGGCCAGGACCAGGGAAGAAGGAAACTCTGGCGGGGTAACCTTGATAGGAGCCATGACATTTGGCGGATGACAAACCCAGCCAGAAGCAATCTCCTAAGAAAGAATCGGGGATTAAATATGCTGACTTCACTCTCTCATCTATTTTTTCCTTCTCCTGCCAGGGCTCCCTCCTGACCCACCAAACACCCCAGTTTAATGTGGGAATGGCAAGGATGGAGAGTGGATCTGGAGGACTGAACAAAAGATAGCCAGCAGCCCTCTGCTGTGGAACAATCTTATTGTACACTGTGCAGATGTTTCTTTGCTAAGGCACCTTCTGATTGGTTTAATAAAAGAGCTGATTGGCCAATAGTGAGGCAGGCAGAGATTAGGTGGGAGAGACAAAAACTAAGAAGACACTGGGAAGAAGAAGGGCAGAGTCACGGGAGTCTGGGGAGTCTCGAGCAGACTCAGAGAGAAGCAAGATGCACTTGCAGTGTTGAAAAAGGTGCGGCCACATGGCAGAGCATTGATAAGAAATGGGTACTTTAAGTTATAAGAGCTAGTTAAAAACAAGTCTAAACTGTTGGCCGAGCATTTATAATTAATATTAAGTCTACATGTGGTTATTTGTGAGCAACTGCTGGGACACAGAAAAACTCCACCTACAGCCCCCTCGCCCCAAAATTACCCCCAGCATCTACCATTAAGACAGAGAGTTGGAAAGGTCGTTCAGGTTGAAAGTGCTTGCCTTGTGAGCACTTGAGTTTGATCCCGGAATCTAAGTTCTTAAAAAGCCAAGTAGAGTGACACATGTTTGTAATCCCAGCGCTGAGGAGGCGGAAACGGGCAGGGCCTTGGGGCTCATTGGCAAGCTCCAAGGTAGGAAGATGCGCTGTCTTTGAAAAAAAGAAAAGAAAGAAAGAAGGACGGGAGGGAGGGAGGGAGGGAGGAAGAAAGCTGTTAAAGTGCTTGACATGGAAGCAGGAGGACTAACATTCTGATCTCTAGAACACATGTGATTGCTAGACAGTCTTCGGGCCAGCCTGTGATTCCAGCCTTTGTAAGGCAGAAACAGTGTTCCAGAGCAAGCTGGACTGCTAGACTAGATAGCGCACTGGTGCATGTGCGCGCGTGCGGACACACACACACACACACACACACACACACACACACACACACACAATAGATAGTGCACTGGCGCATATATAAATCTCTGTGTGTATAAACTCAATGAGAGACTCGATGTCAGTGAATAAGACAGAGAGTGATGTAGGAAGACCCCCAGAGTCAACCTCAGACTCCACACTCACGTTCACACACACACACACACACACACACACACACACACACATGCAGGTACACTCCTACAGATGAAGGTGGGAAGGGTGGCTGGCTCTCGAGGAGCAACGTCTGAAGCTATCTACGGGCCTCCACACCCACCTGTGTCGCAAGACATCTGATCACTCTGAGACCCCCGAGTTTGTGTTATTTACTGGAAAAACCTGTTTCTAGCTGTGGTGTGGCTCAGTCCTAGAACACACCTTTAATCCAAGCGCTTTCTGCTTGAATACTGTAAACACAGGTTAAGAGGCAGAGCAAGTTGACAGGAAAAAACCACGGAGAGTAAGAGGGAGTCCGGAAGACAGATAGAGAGACGCACAGGAAGTGGAAGGGAGTGGCATTCAGCTTGAGGGGGTTTTGTTTGAGAAAGCTCTTTCTAGCATGTCAGCAGAGGAGGAAGGTCAGCGGGGTGCTTTCTCTGCCACTCTGAGCTAGAGGGCTTTCACCCCAGCATCTAGCTCCAGAGTCTTTGTTGGTAAAAAATCGAACGATTGAGATTTTGTTAAAAACAATAACCTGCAAACACACACACACACACACACACACACACACACACACACACACACACACACACACACACACACG